TATTTCTTTAGTTTATTGCCCCAAATACTGAAAAAGGTATTAGTCAAAGAGTGTTAATTGGTGCTTAATTAAAACTATTACTTGATGTTATCTTAGTTACTTCGATAGGCAGATCATGTGATGAATATGTTAGTGACGAAGTCTTTTTAACAGAAATACGTGAACAATTAAGTGACATGAAAGAACAAATAACAAAAATATTGGAAACATGTGATGAACAATTACAAATAATGGAAACGTCAGAAGATATCGGACATTTACAAAAACAATTGTTCCTCTTGATCTCGTATTCAATTGTCTCGAAAATCTAACCGATCGGAGCTGTTATTTAGTTACAAATGGTAAATTATATCCACAGATACTATTGTACATAATAATTCGTCTAGTTCTAAGATCATATCGTCCAGTTGTCAAAGTATATTCAAAAAATGGATCAATGAGAAAGTCAATGAATCCATTTGCCTCAAAACGGTTCGATGAGTACACATTTTAGAATACAGTGATTCAACGAATGTCGCTTATTGTTTTGTCTGTCGACATTATTTTGGAGTGATCCTGGTTGGAAACAAGGAAAAGGCGCATGGAAGAAGGAAAGTGTCTCGGTGTGGAAAAAATGAAAGGTATCTATCAGCATGCATATTATTGCAAAAACCTCGCTTTTATCGTTAACTGAGGGAAGAAAGGAAAATTAGAAAAACATTTTAACAGTAAATCTCATCATACATCAGCACAAAAACATCTAAATTTTAAATTGATTCACAAAATCCGAATCATTTACTGACAATGTCACAAAGGTGCATGATGTTGCTACAATTATTAATCAATTAAAAGACCACTATCCAAATTTATTTATTGCTTACTCGTTTTTGTTATCTTTACCTGTCAGAGTGGCGAGTAATGAACGGTGACGACACTGCATCCCTCTCTCCTCTTCAGGTAGGTGTAAAGTTGTTTTGATCTTATTTTTTTTCCTCTGTGGACATGCACTAACTATGTGTAAGTACTAACTCTTATGGCAACTTTTTCTTCCGCGATTTTTCTTTTGTATTTTGCCGATATGTTTTGTGTCTCTGTCTTTCGTTCGCTCTTATTAACCCTATTCCCATCCGGTTCGATTATTTAACGCTAGTTAAATTAATATGAAGATTTCAATCATGTTGTAATTCTGCTACGTTATGCGTGTTTTTAGGTTGATAAATATGTTCATCTTATTTTATACCCATAAAGTGGGGCAAAAGTTTGGGGACAACAATATTTTCGAGTTTCATTCGGAACCACGATAGCTGGACAAAAGACAAAAACTGATTTGAAGAGCTAAAAATATTTC